CCCCACCCAAGGAGGCCTGGGATCTAGCTTTGGGACCACCAGCCCACCAGCCTTCCAAGCAGGTCTAGAACAACTCACCCCAGTTTCCAAAAATTGGGTAACTGGAGACTCAGTGCCGCTTTCCCAGGCCTCAACACTGCCCCCCCCAACCCTGAGGATAGTAGCCTCAGGACGTTAAGGTCCTGCCTCAACCCTCAGGCTAAGCCTCGGAACTAGGACTTTTTGCGTCAATGATCTTAACCAGACCCGGTGAAGTGTTGTCAAATTAGTGTTGTCAAATCTGTAAACTTGGGAGCTCTGTCAAGATGTAGAACTCAAGCCCCAGGTGCAGAGAGTCAGTGGTATAATGGGGCTCCAGCAACTATGTTTATCAAGCTGTTCAGAAAAGTCTCATCAATTCAAGGTCACTAAAGCTGTCTTATCCCCCAGGGACCAATGACCTCAGGGACAGGACGAATTACCACCAGCCCTTGCCTAAGATCAGGCTAGACCCTGGGCTTGGGGGATCTGTGATTGTGGGTATCCTAACCTCTAAACTCTAGACTGGGTTCAAGGGTTGCAGGCTCTGGACCTTTAGACCATTCCTCACTCCTACCTAGGTCAAGAGTCTAAGAGTGAGGGGCTTTGGATCACCAGTTGCTAGCTCAGCGTCTATACTCAGAGGATTCTTTGGCTTACCCTGAGCCCCCAAGAGAGTCCAGAAGCTGAGACTTCAAGTCCCTGTGTCAACCACCGGACCCCAAGCCTGAGGATCCTTGGGTCCTGAGTTCAGGGACCCCAACCCCCCCAGGATAAATCTCCACAGCCCCGGAACCCCAAGCATCTGGTTCACGGTCCACCCGGAAGGTCAGGGGCTTTGGCACCATCGGTAACTACCTCAGCCTCCACCCAAGCCGGAACAACCAGGAAGCCTGCTCCAGGACTCTGCTCACAGCACCCCAGGTATCTAATCCCCTGCCCCAAACCTAATCTGGGCAGCTGACCCCGGCCCCCCAGGCGCGCGCACCTTCCACCACTGGGTAGGGCGCGCGTACGCGGCGCTGCGCGCGTAGTCTCCAGGTGACATGGTCACGCACGAGGTCGCGCAGCGTGTGGCACACGCGCGGCAGGACGTGGAGCACCAGACGCGCGTCTAGGTAGGCGCAGATCTCGAGCAGCAGCTCCGGAGGAAGGCTCAGCAGGCCCGGGACGCCCACGGGCGGACCCTTGGACGCCGCCCGCGGCTCCAGGGCGCCAGGGGACGCGACCGGAGCCGACAGCAAAGGCGCGCGCGGGAGCGCCTGCCCGACTTTCGGCGGACTGAGCACGCGGGCCACGTAAGCCTCGGCCTGCGCGTCGGGGTCGGGCTCAGGCTCCGGGTCCGAGTCATCGTCCCAGGCGCGGGGATCGTCGCGAGGCCCTGGGGGAAGCTCCATGGCGACCGAGTGGGCGCGGCCAGCCCGGCCCTGTCAGCCGACGGCCCCGCGTCCCGTCTCCTAGGCAGCGCGAAGGCACTTCCGGCGCCGCTTAATGATGTTGCAGCGCCAACCGGAAGCGAGTGGCGCGCGCGGAAACCGGCCGGACCGTAGGACCCCACTGTTTTTGAGGGCTCCCACGGTACAGTCCCGTGGGCCCTGGGCTGGAAAATGTAGATTCCTGCTCCCAGCGTTTGTTAAACAGGCATCTGTGGCGGTCCTGATACAGACGGCCAGCCGACTCCGGTTTGACGCGGCTCGGCCAAAGGCATCGCTCACAGGAGACACTGGGCTTAGAAATGCAGTCTCTCTTCTGAGTTCAAAGTCTGGGGCTTTTATAGGGACTTCAACTCCTGTCTCTCCTTCCGGAGCCAGAAAGGTGCAGTTGTACTGCAGAGTCCTCGGTGAAACAAATCTCTGAATTCCCTATAATCGTTATTTCTCTCTTACTTACTGAAAGCCTCTTTTGAGCCAGGCGGTGTTAACCGAGCCACATAAATATCCCAGAGCACTTGCTGTTTTTCTCTGCCTCACTCTTTTTTTAAATGTTCATTTATCTTTGAGACAGAGAGAGAGAGAGTGCAAGCGGGGGAAGGGCAGAGAGGGAGACGCAGAATCGGATGCAGGCTCCAGGCTCTGGGCTGTCAGCACAGAGCTCCATGCGGGGCTTGAAATCAGAAGCCTCGAGATCATGACCTGAGCAGAAGTCGGATGCTTAACCGGTTACCACCTTCACAGTGAGGCCTCCCCACAGTGCCCTACGGTAACACTGACCATTTTCCCAATGTCCCCTCCCCTCTTTTTCTCTATGGGACAGATCACTGTTGCACTGCTTATCTCCTGTGCCCTCGCTAAAAATGTGTGTTGAATGGATGCTGGATGTATGTCCGTGTCCGCTTTTCTCCCCCAAGATGATGCACGTGACTTTGGGCCCTATTGAGGTTGCAACAAGATTGTATTCTGAGGCTGTGTGTCCCCAAGAGCTTAGCAGTTTTTCATTTGCCTCAGTAACTGTCACTCATACTTACTTATTACACCTCCAAGAGGCCTGGTGCCGAGCTTTTTACAAAAACATCTAACCTGCCCCATGACCCGGAGTTGTGGGGTTAGGCGGAGAGGAGTGCTGCAAGGCTTTGCCCCTTAGTTTGGTCTAAGGCAGATGGGGATCTGCAACACTAAAGGCTCCCTTTTACTGAATTCAAGAGACCTGTAATTACATTCTGGAGAACACACTACATGTGTATGTTAGGACATCTAATCTTAGTCATTCACTTTCACCTTTCCATTTCACTGGGAAGAAAGGTGAGAGGCTCCAGGTACCGAGAAATGTACCCTGTTAATGGTTACCTACTTCCCTACTCCGCCAATGATTTCCTGAGTCCTGTGCATCCCTACTTCTAAAGCGTCCCAGGCAAGCCCCTCCACGTCTTTACTGCCAAAGCCGAGGATACAGGAGGCTGGATGGAGACCAAGTGTTTCACAAGAAACTGATCTTTACTCAACAAAGTTCTACACAAGTGGAATCTCACGCCACCTCGGCGCCAATCCCCAGCACGGCACAGTAACAAATGGACAGACCCTGGAGCCCGTAGGAGGAGGAGGGGGAGGGGGAAGGAGGGATGTGGAAAACAGAGGAACTGCAGATCGAGGCCAGTCAGGGTCTGCAGCCCTGGGCAGGGAGGAAGGTTGAGAAGCTGAAACTTCGTTGTGCAAAAATCAACCAAAAATAAATTAAAAAATTAAATAGTTTTCTTAAAAAAA